ATGGCAGGAGCGAAAAGGGCTGTAACAAGTTCCTGGCTGGCCAGCCAAAGTAGGTGGTGACACACTCATTTGCTGGACTACAAGGGAGGCCGTAAACCTTCTGGGGCCCAGGTCTTGAGACTCCTGATCCAGGGCTGTGACATGGTGTAACATGCACTTAGGCCTCTGTGGACTGCTGGTATCTCCTGGGCCTCAGGCACCAACGCTTCCCCCTTATCCAGATGCAGCACCCAGGCAGAAGCCACACTTGAGGCACATCTGGTCCAGTCACAGCCTTGTACAGAGCTTGTGCCTGTGCTGGTGCCTGGAGTTGCCCACCTCACCTTAGCAGGCGGTGCACTTGGCTGTGCCATGGCTGTACCCCATGCTTGCTTTCGCTCACACACCTCACCGCTCTGCACCTGGCTCCACTCACATGTGTGGGATCTGACTGAGTATTGAGAACGAGCACAGCCAGCTCAGCACAGCCTGCTGGGCTGAGTGGGCAGAAACCAACCAGCGGTCATAAGCAAAGCTCAGACAGAGGGTGCTGCCAGCCACAGAGGGTTTCCAGCTGTGTGAAGTGGCACCAAGGGAGTCCTGTCACAAAAGGGTTTATTGAGGACTTACAAATGGTGCAGTCCAGAGGTAGCAGGCTGGACAGGAGACTCCCTACCTTTTTAAAAAATGTATGCAGGTTATAACGTTTTTTCGCCAGCAACTTCCACCTAGCAACTATGTAACCCAAAACAAAGGGCCTGGAGCCCTGTGAGCCTGCATTTCAGGATGGGCAGGGCTTCTGATGTCCTTCACAGATAAAGAGTGAATCTTCCAGGTTAGCCCTTCTGGATTCTGGCTTGGAACTTTGAACACACATTTCCTTAGACCATAGTGTTATTTTCAGGCTTAAGTTATTGCTATCAAGTGTGTCTTCCATACACTAGCATTGAGACCTAGAGAGGTTAGAACACTTACCTATTTACATTTAGCAAGTGGCCTTTTCTCAGTCACTGTTTAGTCATTGTTCAGGGTGTCAGATCATCAGCTGCGCTAATGTTTTGGGTAAGTTAGAGCAGGCAGAAAATCTCTGTTGAGAATCAATGGGGAAGAAGGACAGTCAGGGTTACGAAGAAGTCAAAATAACTTACTATTTTAACCACAGTGTCCTGAGAGCAGGGAATGTTTTAGTTCAACGGTTCTTAGTTTTATTTATTTATTATTTATTTTTGGAGACAGCGTCCTAGCTCTCACACAGGCTGGAGTGCAATGGTGCAATTTCGGCTCACTGGAGGCCTCATCTCCCGAGTTCAAGTGATTCTCCTGCCTCAGCCTCCCAAGTAGCTGGGAATGCAGGCACATGCCACCACGCCTGGCTAATTTTTGTATTTTTAATAGACACGGGGTTTCACCATGTTGGTCAGGTTGGTCTCGAACTTCTGACCTCGTGATCTGCGGTCTCCCAAAGTGCTGGGTTTACAGGCATGAGCCACCGTGCCAGTCAGTTCAACAGTTCTTAGAATTAAACATCCGACCTTGCAGAAATTTTACAGATGAGAAAACCAAGAACCATAGAAAGTTAAATCATGTCTGCCAGCGTAGCTCATTAACACGTGCAGAGTGACTATAAATATTACACAGTCCACTTACGGAAAAGCTGGTCTTGCAGAATCTCTTCAGAGTGTGCTTTATCACCTAGAGATGAGGTGGATTTCAAAGCAGCACACAGTGGGCCTTCAGGTGCTGTCAATCTTGTGTTGATGGGGTATTTGCTTTTGTCTGTAAACTAAACAAGCCCTTCAGAATGCATGATTAACTTTCCATTTTCAATAAGGAGTTCCTTGTTCGCAGATGCTGAAGTGTTAAGTTATACTGCTAAACATGAAAACTGTCAAACTAGAGGCATTCAAATTCTTTTGCAGGAAAGTTATGTGAACCTGAAAATGTGAGGCAGGTCTCAGTTGGTGAAAGGATTGATTTTGCCAGGGTTGAGAGTGCACACCCGTGACCCAGCCTCAGGAGTCCCGGCTGACATGTGCCCAAGGTGGTCAGGGTACAGCTTGATTTCACACATTTTGAGGAGACATGAGACATCAATCAATATGTGTAAGATGTACATTAGTTCAGTCCAGAAAGTGCACAAGACGGCTGGAAATAAAAAGGCCAGCTGACTGAGGTCATAGGTAGGTAAGAAAAATGGTTGTATTTTTTGAGTTCACAGTGAGCCTTTGTTTCAAATGGGGCAATCAGATATTGCTTCTATCTCAAGTGAGCAGAGGACTGACTTTGGATAGAATGGGAGGTAGGTTGCCTAAGCAAGTTTCAACAAACTTTTCCACTTCCCAGCTTAGTGATTTGGGGCCCCCAGATTTATTTTCCTTTCACAGTTACATCATACTTCTCTCAAAGTAACCTCTGTTTTCCAGGCCTCTTTAGCCGTAGATGCATTTTCATCTCCTCCTTTTCAGGAACAAAAAGAGGAATCCTGTGTACAGAGGCCCTTATATCTTGGATACCAACAATCCCTGTTTCTATGCAGAACACACTTAGAAAGCAATGTGGATTCTGGCATGTGTTCTGCGGCTCATTAATGTGCATTTTCTTTTTTTGGTCACAATTCATTTTTATTAATAGAAAATAAACACTTATTCCAGTTTCAAAGTTGTTATACTTGAAGTTGCTAATTTTAAAAAATGAATTTTAAATAATCACTTAATCCTGCTTTGACTAAGACAATGACGTGGCTTTAAAAAAACTATTCCTTCATTTGCTCATAGAGCTTTCAGAGTTTGTTCTTAAAGTTTCTGGAACTTTCCTGTCTGTAAAGTATAGGAATTACTGAGCTCCATTGGAAAGCCTCTCTGGGACAGGCAATGGGAATTAGCAGTCATCATAAAGGAATCAGTGTACATTCAGCATGGTGACTTGGACTACACAACAATCCCTTCCCTCTATAGTAGCTCAGGAGAAACATGCTTCCTAAGCACTTTGAGGTATGAGGAGTCTCAGACTGTTATTTGCTGTTAGAATTGATCTTCCCAGCTAATAACAGTAAATATCTGGCACAGATGCTATTGGTCATAAAGTCCTGTGTGATTTTAGGAAGTAGTTTGGATTTAGTTCAATTTATTCAGAAATCAAACATGTTTAATTAGCTTCACTACTTTGGCAGAGTAAGGATATGCTGGTTTAGTGTCTTTATAAGAAATACTTACATAATGTATAGGTAAATCATAGTCTTAAATCAAATACCTAGAATACTATATTATTTAAACCAATATCTATTTTAAGAAAATGTTTATAACTAAAAACAGCTGAAAATGTTTATAACTAAAAACAGCTGATGAAACTAAATCCAAAGGTATGACAAAGAGGACTCAGCTCTGTGTTGCTTAGAGAACTTTTAAAAGGCATGTGCCCATAAAGTCATTCAAGGACAGGGAAGGAGGCCCCCTTCGCCTCCTCCTTACTATAGAATTCCTGTTGGGGCTGGGCCAGAAATGAGCACTTCTAAATATTTCAGAGAAATCCAAAGCGTTAAAAAGTATTTTATGCAAAAGAACGTCTTTCTGCATCAGTGAATAGTAATGCTCATCAGAATTTCCTAATAACACAAAAACAAAGCCAAGATACATTTGATCAGATGTCAAAGTAATGGGAGGTGGACTATTATGTCAACCTTAGTCAGAGCTCCTGCTGGCTTCTTCTTATACACTGTTCACCAATTTGAGTAGTGGACTTTGTGAGAGAATAATGTTTGATGGCCAGGACCTCACCTGGGCATTTCTTCCTAAGTGGAATACACAACAGATAAGGGAGTAGGGGAGGTAATACAGGGAAGCTACTCTTTCCAGCTCACAAGGAGTTGATGAAGCCCATATATGCATTCAAGAAGCCCATGGGATCCTCTAGCTGTGGATAGTGGCTAATGTGGTCATCCAGAATGGACACTGTGGACCGCGGCAGCGTTTTCCTGTACAGCTCCAAAAACTCTGGATAGGGATTTACAGGATCAATGGCCCATAGATAAAATGAATGCAGGGATAGTTACAGAGGCAAGAGCTCCCACTGAATGCCTTCTGAACTTCTTCGCTGATTGATGTACTGTAAGTGTATTGACCTAGTTCCCATTATTGTTGTGGATCCCTGCCCACATGTCCAGCTCACTCTCAGAGGTCAGTACTCGGCCCAAAGACTGGGGTGAGACCTCGAGAGAACACGAAGAAGTTCATCAGTCGTGTGAGGATGGAGTGACAGCCCACCTCCCGTCTTTGAAGTAGCTTTTGGAGAAGGAGTGGACGGTGAGTCTCAGGAAAGATACCTCCATTTGGCTGAACAGAGACTCTTTATGGTAAGCCGACCAGATCGATTTTGCTTGTACCTGTAGAGAAGCTCCTGAGCAACTGTATCTCCATAGTCATGAGAAAGAAGGTTGATCCTGTGGTTCTGGAGCCCCAGATGCTGCAAAAGTGCTTCCACGATGCTGGCCTGCTCAAATATGGAATAGTGATGTGGTCTCCCATTTGGCAGACAGAGACTCTTTATGGTAAGCCGACCAGATCGATTCTGCTTGTACCTGTAGAGAAGCTCCTGAGCAACTGTATCTCCATAGTCATGAGAAAGAAGGTTGATCCTGCGGTTCTGGAGCCCCAGATGCCGCAAAAGTGCTTCCACGATGCTGGCCTGCTCAAATATGGAATAGTGATGTGGTCTCGGTTTGTCACCGAAGCCAAAGCCTAAGAAATCAAGGGCAATCACCCTAATGAAACCTCAAGGTCAGACCTTCCCAAATCTTGTACCAATCGTAGCTGGATGTTGGAAAACCGTGTAAAAGCACAACTATCTCTGGACTTCCAATCACACCCACAGAGTCTTGGTAGAAGATACGCAGTACCTTGTAAGTGAAAAACTTGCCTGAAGACTTCCATGAGTGAAGGGCAGGGGAGAGCTGAGGGAGTGGGATGTGCAGGTACGCAGCAAGCAGGGGCACGGCCAACAGCCCCACCTGGACCCACCACTCCCTCATCCTGCCCCCCAGGACTGGTGTGGCCCACGCACACGAGCTACACCCACCAAGGAGCGCTAGTCCCACTCCTGAAGTGGGCTGCGAGGGTGCACGGGGAGATCACTCCTTCCCTGCCTGCCTCTTACCTGATTCAGGTAAGACCTGGGCTACAGGACTCCATGTTTGGGAGAACCTGTTGCCTGCATTTTCTCAAGAAGGATTCTAAAGAGCTTCAATTTGCTGGGAAGCTTTCTCCTCAGGTGGACTAGCAAGTGCAGAGTCTTGCAGTTCTTTCATCTATTTATAGCTCAGAGAAGCCACCCAGATGCAGATGTGTGATTCCAAAGCAGAAATCACTCAAATTCATGAAGATTCTCCCTCTGCCCTTATAGTGGAGGCACATCGTTAAAAGCACTTTGTTGAAGCTATGCTAAAGTGTTGGACATTTCAGTGGATAAACAAAACAATATAAACAGTCGAGATGGTTTTCTAGTTACGGGACTCGGAATACTCTACTTAAATTTAGCAGGGTTTAGGTATATGTGGATGTTGTCACTTCCTTCCTCCTCCCTCCCTTCCTTCCTCATTTTCTCTGTCTGTATCTCTGTAATGAGGCCATGCATGTTACTGGGAAATATAGTAGATTTGGAGACAGGCGTGGGTTCCCATCCAAGGTCCAACACTCACAATTGAGTGATCCCATACACATTATGTGAGTGTTCTAGCTCTTAGTAATTGAAGGATAACAACAAAGTAGAGAAAAATTGTCTAAGATTATATATAAATGGATTAAATTGTATATAAATTATATAAGATTATATATAAATGGATGAATGGCTAGATCGGTGGATAAATGGATGGATAAATGGATGGATGGATAGATGGATGAATGAATAGACGGATGAATGAATAGGTAGCTAGATGGATAGTTGGATGGATGAATGCATAAATGGATGGATGAATGGATAGATGATATACAGATATGTAGATGGATAAATGGATGGATGGATGGATAGATAGATGATACATAGATGAATAGAGTCTGCAGGACAATGCATAATAGGTCAAAGACTTTTTTCGTTCTTTTTTGTTTTTTCTTTTTTAGCGATGAAGTCTCACTCTGTCACCCAAGCTGGAGTGCACTGGTGTGATCATAGCTCATTGCAGCCTGGAACTCTTGGGCTCAAGCAGGTATTTGTCATCATGCTTAGATTTTTTTAAAAAAAATTTTGTAGAGATAGGGTCTTGCCGTGCTGCCCAGGCTGGTCTCAAACTTCTGGCCTCCAGTGATCCTCACGCTTTGGTCTCTCAAAGTGCTAGGATTACAGACATGAGCCACTATTCTTTATTCAGTAAAAGTCTATTTCACTGAGCACATTCTTTGGCCATCCCACTTGTAAATGCTAAGGATATAACACTGAATAAAACCGACAAACCCCTGCAGTTGTAGAACTGATATTCTACTGAAGGAGCCAAACATGAATCATAATATATAGAAGGCAACACCCGCCATAGAAGGAAATAAGGCAGGGAAGTAGGGCAAGAAATGTGACTGGGGTAGAGGTGTTTCAGATTTTAAATGGGTCATCAGGGAAGAACCTATGCAGAGGATGGCATTTGAATAGGGACCTTGAGTGGTGCTGGAGACTGCAGCAGAGGTCCAGGGAAGAAGTATCACTATTGAAGTAGGCCCTGCCAGAGGCCTACTGCAATACACTGCAATAATTCCCATGTAAAGAGAAGCTGTTCTGCCTTCCTGTGAATGAGATGAAGTTACAAAGCAGGTGCAGTTCTTTATACCAATCCTTTTCCCACTTATCTTCCTCAGATGTTGGAGCACAGGGGATGAGTTGACCCAGCTGCTGTGCTCAGAAATCTACCAATCACCATGTTTCCATGGAGGCCAAGCTTTCCCGACTGCTCCCAGGCAGTGATTGAGCATGGCAGGATTCTCAGGCAAGCCCACTCCTGGGAAATGCATCACTCCTGTCATGGGCTCCCCATTAGCTTTGCAGAAACTTCTGCAGAACCTCATGTGAAGTCTTGCCCCGCACTGTGTTCCCATCTTTCCCTTCTCCACTGGTGCTAGACTTGCACTGAGGTCTGATGACTCTCCTGGACTTTGCTGGCTCCCTTCCCATTTTCTCTTGCAGAATTTTCCTTAATAAATTACTTACACTCTTATTAGAGTTTTCTCAAATAAATCCAGACTTAGCATCTGCTTGGAATACCAGGACTGACACAGGCACCATTGAGGAACTGTAGGTGCCCAGCTAATGGCCAGCACTAACTGTGGGACCTTTGAGTAAGGCCAGCTTGGACCTTCTTGTGCAATTGATATGCCCATAAATTACAATCATGTGAGATATTGAAGCCGTTGTGAACTATTGGTAGAAATGTAACACGGTACAGCCATTGTGGAAAACAGTGTGGTGGTTCCTCGAAACATTAGAAGTACAATTGGCCAGGCACGGTGGCTCATGCCTGTAATCCCAGCATTTTGAGAGGCTGAGGTGGGCGGATCACCTGAGGTCAGGAGTTCAAGACCAGCCTGGCCAACATGGTGAAACCCTGTCTCTACTAAAAAATACAAAAATTAGCTGGGCGTAGTGGCAGGTGCCTGTGATCCCAGCTACTGAGGAGGCTGAGGCAGGAGAATCGCTTGAACCTGGGAGACGGAGGTTGCAGTGAGCCGAGATCACGCCACTGCACTCCAACCTGGGCCACAGAGAGAGACTCCATCAAAAAAAATAAATAAATAAATAAGAATTACCATATGATGCAGCAATTCTACTTCTGGTTATATACCCAAAAGAATTGAAAGCAGGGACTCAGAGATCCTTGTGCAGCCACATTCAGAGTGGAATTATTTACAATGGCTAATACATGGAAACAACCCAAGTATTCATTGCACATGAATGAATAAACACAATGTTCATTTAACACAATGAAATACCATTCAGCTTTAAAAATAAGGAAAATTCTGACACAGGCTATATAACGTGGATGAAACTTAAGGACATCATGCTAAGTGAAATAAGCCAGCCCCTAAAAGGCAAATACTGTATAATTCCATTTATATGAGGTACTTAGAGTAGTCGCAATCATATAGACAGAGAGTTGATTGGCAATTTCCAGGGACAGGGGAGACAGGAAAATGGGGACTTCTTGTTTAATGTATATAAAATTTAAGTTTCTAAGGATGAAAAGAATTGTGGAAGTGGGCGGTAATAAAGGTTGTACATTATAAGTGTATTTAATACTACCAAAATGTACACTTAAGAACGGGTGAGTTACTCTGTTTTGCCATGCTGTAAAGGAATACCTGAGGCCGGTAACTTACAAAGAAAAGAGGCTCACACCTGTAATCCCAGTGCTTTGGGAGACTGGGGCTGGAGGATTGCTTGAGCTCATGAGTTTGAGACCAGCCTGGCAACATGGTGAAACCCTGTCTCTTCAAGAAATACAAATATTAGCCAGGTGTGGTGGTGCATGCCTGTAGTCCCAGCTACCTGGGAGGCTGAGGTGGGAGGATGGCTTGAACCCGGGAGTTTGAGGCTGCAGTGAGCTATAATCACACCACTGCAGCACTCTATCGTGGGTGATAGAGCCAGGCCTTGTCTTCAAAAAAAAAAAAAAAAAAAAAGAGGTTTATTTGGCTCAAGGTTCTACAGGTTGTACATGCAGATTGTACATGCATGACACTAGCATCTGCTAGGCTTCTGGTGAGGCCTCAGGAAACCTACTCATGGTAGAAGGTGAAAAGAGAACAGGCAGGCACATCACATGGAGAGGGACGGAGAGAGAGGGAGGAAGAGAGAGAGAAAGAGAGAGAGAGACAAGGAGGTGCCAGCTCCTTGAAACACCCAGCTCTTGTGTGAACTAACAGAATGAGAACTCTCTCATCACCATGGGGAGGGCACCAAGCCATTCACAAGGGATCCACCCACATGACCCAAACACCTCCTGCCAGACCTCACTTCCAACAATGGGGATCACATTTCACCATGAAATTGGAGGAGACACACATCCAAATCCTGTTAGATGGTAAATTTTATATTGTATTCTAGCACAATTTTTAAAAAGAAAAAAAAATTATAGCCAGATGAATGAGCCCAGGAAAAATCAGTAAAGTAAACTTGCACCCAATGCATAGAAGTGTAATTGTTTTAAAGCACTAATGTTTGGGTGGCTTGTTATATGACAAAGGCTAGGGACACAACACCAGAGGAAGACTTAGAGGATCCAGGAAAAAAGGAATAAACTAGCAGCTGAGGCAGAAGTTGCAGTGAACTGAGAGTGCATTCCAGTCTGAGAGACAGAGGGAGACTCACTACAAAAATAATAATAATAATAATAATAATTGCACTCATGGTTCTGCAGGCTGGCTCAGGTATAAAGGAAGATATGACCAGCCCAGCACGTGCTGAGATTAACTGCCTGGGTTCTGAGCTGAGCAAGCATTCCTGGGCCAGACTGTCTTTCCATAACCTACTCCTGTCGACCTGATTGTTTAGTATAGTGTCATCCCTATGCCTGTGTTCACCGATTTAGGCCTCAGTATGTCCCACCATTGGATCCTGTTCCTGCCTCTAACTGGGCCATTTAATGTCCACCCATTCCTGCCTTACCAATGTATATTCAGACTTGGGCTTTTTAATTACATATTCAACTGGGCACAGTGGCTCACACCTGTAATCCCAACACTTCGGGAGGCCTAGGCAGGAGGATTGCCTGAGGCAGGAGTTTAGAACCAGCTGAGGCAACATAATCAAGATCCCCAGGTCTACAAAAATAAAAGTACTGGCTGGAGTGTGTGGTGGTGCATGCCTGTATTCACAGTTACGTGGAGGAGTGAGGCTGGAGGATGGCAGAGCCCAGGAATTCCAGGCTGTGGTAGGCAGTGAGCCATGCAGCCTGGAACTCCTGGGCTCAAACCATTCAGCCTCACTCAACCGCTTAAGTAACACTTGTACCACTGTGCACCAGCCTGGGCAACAGAGGAAGCCTGTCTCAAAAAAATAAATAAAATTAAATTAAAATATTAAGTATTTCACCTCCTGCAACATCTTTTGCTGCCTGCTGATCTCCTACGTCTGACCTGGCTCACCACCTCCTCATTCTGGTCCTAGGTTTCACCTTCTTACTCCACCCCTATCAGGTGCCCCAGCAAACCTGGCATCAAGAAATTGTCATCATGGATGAACCTTGGGGCTGGAACCCAGCCTCGGTTGTCTTTCATTGTTTCCTTCCTCAACATTTGTACTCTATTCTGCCACCTGAAGCCTGTCTTCTCGCCTCCTCCTTCTTCTTCTTTTTTTTTTTTTCAGATGAAGTTTTGCTCTGTGCCCAGGCTGGAATGCAATGGCATTATCTCAGCTTACTGCAACCTCCCCACCTCCTGGGTTCAAGGAGTTCTCATGCCTCAGCCTCCTAAGTAGCTGGGATTACAGGCACCTGCCACCACATCCAGCTAATTTTTTTGTATTTTCAGTAGAGACAAGGTTTCACCACGTTGGCCAGGCTGCGCTCGAACTCTTGACCTCAGGTGATCCACCCACCTCGGCCTCCCACAGTGCTAGGATTACAGACGCAGGCCACTTTGTCCAGTCCTGAAGGCTGTCTTCTAAGGCCCTCCTGAATCCCGCAGTTTGTTCCTGTGTTCTCATAGCTAACCTGCTTTCCAGCACATCAAGATGTCACTTACTGAGAATTTCAGCTTCTGCCAGTCAGTGCCAGGCAGCCTGATGCAGGCACCTCTCTCCGCCTGACCCTACAGAAGGCAGCACTTCGACGCCAGTGTGCTTCCTCAAAGGGTTATAAGGACTTTCCTGGCAAGGGCGGATGATTACGCCTGCCACAAAATTTATTGACTTGCGAATCCTTGATGGAGGGCTTGCACCTGAAACTGTTGTCAAGTAGCAAGAATGCACTTGATTCATGGAGAGAGGCATTTTTTATTTGGGAAAAAAAGTAAATCCCTTTTCTGCACTCCAGTAAATGAAAAAATCCATACTATTAAATAGCACTAAAGAAAAACTAGCTCTTAGGCAGCTAGCAAATACTTTCAAATCATGGTGAAATAAAGGCGTACAGAGGGCAATATCACCAATATAAGATACTCTTTTTTTTTGATGCTCTGTCATTCAGGCTGGAGTGCAGTGGTACGATGGCTCACTGCGGCCTCCAACTCCTGAGCTCAAGCATTCTTCCTGTATTAGCCTCCTGAGTAGCTGGGATTACAGGTGCACACCACCCATGCCGGGCTATTTTTTGAATTTTTGTGACAGGATTTGCCCGTTGGCTAGGCTGGTCTCGAACTCCTGACCTCAAGTGATCTGCCCGCTTTGGCCTCCCAAAGTGCTGGGATTACAAGCATGAGCCACCACCCCTAGACCATAACACTTTTTGATCCACAAAATCCTAAAAACACTATAGGCACAAGCCACCAAGCTTAGCTAAATTTTTGTTTGTTTGTTTTATAGTATAGACAGGTTTTTCACTATGTTGGCCAGGCTGATGTGAACTTCTGACCTTCGTGATCTGCCTACCTTGGCCTCCCAAAGTGCTGGGATTACATGTATGAGCCCTGTGCCTGGCCCTAGAGATTCTAAATGTGAAGCTATTACTGCTTGCCTTGATGCATATCACTATATCACTTTTTTTTTTTTTTTTTTAAGGTAGAGCCTCACTCTGTTGCCCAGGCTGAAGTGCAGTGGTGCAATCTTGGCTCACCGCAACCTCCACCTCTTGTGTTCAAACGATTCTCCTGCCTCAGCCTCCTGAGTAGCTGGGATTACAGGCGTGGACAACTATGTGCAGCCAATTTTTGTATTTTTAGTTCGCCATGTTGGCCAGGCTGGTCTCAAACTCTGGACCTCGAGTGATCGGCCTGCCTTGGCCTCCCAAAGTGCTGGGATTACAGGCGTGAGCCACCGCACCACGGCCAAACTTACTAGTACTCTTTAAAGAAATCTATTATCTATCAATTTATACTGTAACTACTACTTCAACAAACGAAGTAGAAACAGAAAACATTGGAGTACTCCGCAAGCAATCCTAACATAAAATTCATACATCATTGTAGGTGAGCTACACAACCACACGTGTAATGCAAAATACACACATTCTACATAGAATGTGCTATGTAATCCGGATGTTTCAGGGCAGTGTTATAGTCAATTACATTTTCTTTCTTTCTTCT